AAAGAAAACACGTTCCACTGAAAAATGTTCTTAATTCACGTTTATCTTCTAATAACTGTTTCAGGAATATGGACCATTCTCTACATCTAGTAAACTGAAATAGTAACTTGGAAGGGATCCAAATAAACTAAGTTATATGATCACTTTTTTTGGAGTGGGGGATGGGGGAACCTGGTATACAAAAGGATAAAGTGAAGAATTTTCTCTCAATTCCTAGATTATAATGCCTCTAACAAACTAAAAATTCGGTTACTTTAAGCTCTTTGGTTCTGCCTAAGCATTGGGATTAAAGGCATGCACCACCACACCAGGGTTTATTTATCTTTTTCTAGTGGAGGAGGGGCAGGGTCTTGATGTATAATGCAGGCTACCCTTAAACTCACTTAAGTAGCAGTCGAGTATGACTCTTGATGTCCTGCCTCCTGGGATTACAGGCTTGTATCACTGTGTTTTATGCAGTGCTACAGAGGAAACTAGGGCTTTATGAACATAGACAAGCACTCTATACCAACTGAGTTACACCCGCAGTACCTTTATTTGAAAATTTTACAATAAAACCAACAGAACTTTTTAAAAAAGCCACGGAACAAAGAATTCTAACCAAGTTGTAAGAATGCATCACAGGTGATAATTTAGACTGCAACAAATCTATCTTTAAAGATGAGATGTAATCTTGTATTTGAATTATAAAATAGCTAAAGATCCTAGAAAACATAATCCAGAATTCAGTGCATTCCAAATACCATATCTCCCACTTTACAGTCTATACTTTTCCTTGACCAGGACAAACTTCTAGTTCACTGGAACCAATCTTTACAGTATATCTCATTTAAAAACCACAGCATCAACATAATGGTCTGCTTAGAAATTTTAATCAGTAAAATCAGTAACAGGGGTTAGGATAGTCTAACAAAGGCTCATCAAAAGCCAATTACATTTAACTTTCCCGGAAGAATGATCAACTAAGCTGCTACTAAGAACACAGCCATAGATAATAATCTACACAATGCACAACATAAAAATGCAGTAAACTCATCTTGGATAGGAACTGTTTGCTTAAAAAATGTGATAAACCTAGGCAAATGCTAAAATTTATTAAATGCATTAAAAAACAACCCACACAATTACCCAACTAGACAGGCTGCCGAGAAGGGCTAGCTCTAACTGCACTGGGCTAAGGGTTAAAAACCCTTTGGAAGGGAGGGTGCACAGACTATTCTCAGCATCACCTGGGGCTGTGAGGATAGAAACCTCAACCAAAGAATGAATAATGGCAGCTTAAAAGCCACCAAGACACCAACTACACACAAGCATCAAAGCATTACATTTTCTTCTTTGCTCACTAGTAATCCATTGAAAAACAAAGCATGGAAAATGTAGCATTTGTCAGAAAAGCAAACAGCCTATGACAGTAGAAAATTCTAGTCTGGAAAAACAAAATGTTTCGCTGTAATAGCTACTGTAGAGAACAGACCATTAGGTGATTGTAATCGCTTCTGTTTGAGTGTTTTCACAACACGGCGTGGTTCATCAATGAACCGTTTTTCATCACTCCGTTATTTTCAAAAGCCTAGCTGCCCATTTTGGTAGTGTCCACTTCACAAGCACTCTGTCATTCCTAAGCGTTCTTTTCACCATCTACTTGTTTAACGCCTTCTGAGCAAGCATGTACGAGAGAAAATGCTGAAATGGCGCCAAGTCTCACAGCTGTACGGCCAGGCTTGCTGCTGGCACTCGCGGTGCTCTACACCCATGCAACTGCACTAGCCTTGGCAGCCATCTTGAAAAAGATGCCGGGCTCACAAGGGAGCCCCGAGTGCAGGCATTGCCTACACTTACCACCAAGGGCTACAAACCCTTCTCTGGATCTACGAAGATGTAGTTTGCAACTACGATAAAGGTTAAGTTCCTAGGGACTTAAGGCCACTCCAATAAGCTACAGCCGAGCTTTAACCAAAATTGATTTGATCAGCATGATTCCCAGACAAGGAAGTGGAAGAAATAAAAATTGAGGAAGAACCATTTTCTTCAGATGGATTATTTGCCGTTTGGACAAGTAAGATCCCTCTTTGGCTATAGAAAATGTGTTCGAGGCACTAAAAGGACCGCATATTTGAGTCGACTGAACAAAGGCAACATAACCTTACAGCACAGATAACATCTCAGGCACTTGACATGTCAAATCACGTTCCCCAAGAGGTTAGCAAGGTGAAAAATCACCTGTATGCTAATTAGTGGGCCACAGTCTTCCATAGCAATTTGAACGAAGCAGAAAAAGATGTCAAGGTTAAAACGTGCTTCGCCTGGAGTTGCCTCAGTTTGATGCAAGGTAACTAACTGTTAAGGCACGGTTCACGTGCCGCGCCTGCCTTGACCTGCTTTGTGCCAAGGCTTGGAGGCTAGCTCAAGATCGGTATTTCACGGCAAAACAAAGCAAGTCTACAGACCCACTAATCCCGTCACCCAAGGAAAAAAAATAAAGAACCACCACCGTTTCCAACCCCTCTCCCTGTCAGGCTCGCGGAGGCACCGTGCGGCCCCGGAGATTACCCATGCAGGAGGCGGGCCCCAGCTTTCTACACCGGCATCTCACCTGTTGATGAAACCGTATCCGTTCCTTACATTGAACCATTTTACTGTTCCCAAAACCTTCGTTGCTGGAAAACAAAGCACAACAAACGTCCAATCAGCAGCTGGCCCCGGCAGTCGGTCCAGGATCCGGCCGCAGGCCCGGGCCGCCGCCCTCGCCGCACACGTGGGTGCCGCCGGGCAGCGCGGGTCCGAGGTGGGTGTGCG